AGCAACAACCTCTCTGATTCGTAGCTCTTGTGAACGGATTTGAACATCTAGATTTTTATTTGCTATTTTTAAATATTCAGAAGAAAAATTTGTTTTTTTATTTTTTCTTATCGGTTCAGTTTTGGCTATTTTATTCAAAGTTTTTTCATCATCAGAGCTCCTCCGTTTATTGCAGCCGGATGTAGATTGAGTTGGTTCCTCATCAGGAATAGTGACAATTGATTGCACATCGCTTGTATCATCCAAAGCTTCAGTATTTAAAATACTGACAGTCTCCTTGCCATCTTCCATTGTGGCAATCTGTAAATAAAATATACACATTAAAAAAATTACACATTTGAGAAATGATTATAAATCATGTTTCAATCAAAATTTATCTCTTGACTTTGAAAGACTTGACTTGAAGTCATTTTACTCCCTTCCTTCCCTAAACAAAAAGGATCTATTTAGACAATAGCATTTTACAAATATCCCTTTTATAATTCAAAAACTTTATATTATATGTTTTTGATCTTTATGTTTTAAGTCTGCCAAATGTTGCAAAACTAAGAACCTCTTAAACCTTATTTTTTAGAAATAGTTAACATGCTTGTTTACATTACTTTAAAAATATATAGCACTTTAAAAAATACAACAATAAATTATACTAAACTTACCTGACCATCTTGAAAATCTTGAGTAGAAAAGTTTTGACTTTGAGATAAAAGGTCATTGTCAAGGGAAGCTTCACCACCTATTATTTTGGCAACAATATTGTAAGGCCACCATTTACTAGGAGCTCCTCCCGATGAACCAACTTGAAGTTTTTCTCGTCTATGAAAAATATACATAAATATAAGTAAATATAAGCACATCATTAACACCGTATAACATTAATCAAATAACTTTAAATGGACAAATTATTATTAACGAAATAATTATTAACAAAATTAACGAATTATTAACGAATAATAAAATAACAAAATATTAACAAAATAATTATCAACGAGCTGTAAATCTTTAATACTGAATAAGATTTAAGTAATTTTTAATATAACACTCAAACACTCAGTTACAAACTAAATTGCAATTAGATATTATTACACATGGTTAGTTTTGTAAAATACTTTCAGTATTTCAGTAAGGTATCAAACATTAAATGTAGAATATGTACATACCTAAATTGTTTCCTCAAATTACTAATTTTAGATTGAATTTGATATCCAGTTAACGGAGGTACAATATTAAATGTGTTTGAAAATTCAGCTGCCATTTGTTTGTAAATATTTGTGTTTCTTCTTGCAGATGTTAATGCATTGTAATTATCTTTCCATAAATCTAATAATACTCTTGTGTTAGCCATATTCCATACAAATTTATTTAAAGGAGATGTGCAAAGACCAATATTTGTTGTGCTAGCGTCAATACACTCTTTATCTGAATGCTGAGACATTGTGTAAAATTAAAGTTATACCTACTAAAAAGGATAAGTACATTGAATCTTGCAACAATAACAACAACAACAACAAAAAGAAGAGAAATAGTTAATAATAAAATTAAAGGTTAAACTTCATAATTGCTATAAATGTTATGGGCTTAAAATAAGTTAATAATGTTATGGGCTTACTAAATAATTTAATAAATTGCCAAAAACTGGTAGCCAAGAGAACAGAAACTTTCAGATGCTACTTTTACTTTTTTTTACTTTTCCATGCAATGTGATAATTATGTTATTTAATAACATTGATCTTTCAACACTATTGTTTATTTTTATTTTTAAATGTCAATAATTGTAGTACATTGTGGCAAAGAATCTTTGTCACAATGTACTACATCTTTGTAGTACATTGTACTACATCTTTGCCACAATGTACTACATCTTTGTAGTACCACAATGTACTACATCTTTGCCAAAGATGATTTTTGTGAACGAATAATCTCAAAACGTTTTGAAAGAAGATCTTAAAGATCGTCGTTCATAAAGTTTCGAGCTTATTCATTACTTTCGTTATAAAAATTCGCTCAAAAAATAATCTTTGAAAAACAAAATATTCGTTTGAAAGATTTAAAATAAAAACATAAAAAAATACTTTTAAGCGTTAGAAAACAAACTTAAATAAAAGTTTCGTATACGTTTTCGTAATAATAATTTGTTTATTTTAAGCAATCTTTTAAAGTAATTTGTTATTTTGTTTAAAGGTGTTCACATAATATAAAAACTTTGAAAAAGGTAAACGATTAAAAGTTATTTCGTAAATTTTACTAGTTTCTATCGACGCATTTCTGAAGCGTTTTATTTGTCAAAGCAACCGTGGTTAAATTGTCAAAAAAAATTATTGTTCCCGTGGTCAAACAAAGCGCGTGATCGCACGCCATTCCCGTCCAAGCCTGAAAGATATAAGGTACAGTCATATCAATACAGTCAATCAATAATTCTGAATAAAGATTCTGAATAAAGATCTTATTTTCACAATTATTCACAAACAGTAAAATAACTAATATTAAGTAAATACAGAATATTTATGAGGAAAATACAAATGGTAATGTTCACAAATTAAAATAACAAGATAAGATAAAGCTAATATAATAAAATATATATGACATATAAATAAAATATATGACAAAGCTCATATATAACAATATATACCAATAATAATATCAATAATAATGTTAATATAAATAATAATAACAATGATGATAATAATGATAATAATATTAACAATTGTTATTGTTGTTATTTTTATCATTATTATTACTATTATTATTCTATTATTATAATTATTATTATAATAATAATTATTATTTTTATTATTATTATCACTGTTGGCAAGGCCAATGATAAACAAATCTGCTTATTAGTTCAAAGTTGAATTTTATAAATAAAATTACTATAAGTTTATTAAAAATGCATTAATAGCAATGCTTGCAAAGAATATAATTAAATAAAAACTATTAAACAATGAAAATTAAACTTTCTTAACGCAAGTTAAATGTTACCTTGAATTATACTTCTTGTTAATTCAAATTAAAACTGACCTTAATAAGAATAATACTGTCTTTGTAATGTTATATTTTAAGATTAAGTTTTTAAACACACATATATAACTTCTTTTTAAATTAATAATATACTAATAATTAAATTTCTATTCTATTTATACAAATTTTAAATATCGTTAAAAATAACTTGAAATTTGTGATGGTCAAATAATTGTTTTTTAAACAATTGCCCACCATCTGGTCTACTCATGATTGATCCCACACGAGTGGGATCGGAATTTCCTTGGTTGCATGAAATTACCACAAGTTTTTACTCAATGAATAAATATATGAAATTATATTTAAAGAAATGTTTTGAATTAAATAAAAAAGATGGAAGGCAAAAACTAAAAGTTTCAAGGCAACATGTTGAAAGGCAAATAGTATATCGATAATCTTGTCTTGATATATGACCAAGACCTAGGACAATGCAGAGATCAAGGACTAAAAACTCTGGTTAAGATGACAACAACTTTGTAAAAAAAATAGTTTGAGTTACTTTTACAACAAATTTGCATCTTGCAATGTATTTTTATTGAATCATTTAGCTTTATATGCATACGCTTATTTTAAAAATAGTTGAAAATAGGCACCATTTTTTATACAAAACCAAATAAATGTTCCGGAACATTTATTTGTTCTGGGTTGGCGGGACGGTACAAAAGTTCCTCAAATGTTCCTTGAATTTTTGTTCCGTTTGCGTTCACACGAGAGGATATTTGTTCATGTTCCATGTTCCACGGAATGTTCCATCAAATGTACCCTCGTGTGAACAGCCTATTAGGGTTTTATCTGGTTTTTATCAGGGCCGAATAACCTGGGGATTTGACGGGTTTCCCATAAGGTTCCCAAAAGGTTTAAAAAAAATCATAACAAAACTTACTCGATGGTTGCCATTTTTAATTGGTATTGTGCGTGTAACAAGATTAAAAATTTAACTTTTATGCATTACATTTTTTGAATACATTATATTTACATTGTAATTAAAAAATAATTTTTTTTTGATGTGTCACTGTAAAACTCAGTTAAAAAGACGTTGTTTTAAAATTTCATTTATTTATTATCATTATAAAAGAATTTTTATATATACATATATATACATGTATACTACTTTTTAAATGAATTTACAAAGTTCAACATATTTGAAGGGTAACAAGGTTTACAAGTTCACGACCCAGAGGTAACCCACTGTTTTAGGGTGGTAGCCCTCTTATCAGAGAAATTGAAGTTGGTATTGACGAGAGTTGATTTGGTTTGGTTTCACTCTTAAAATGCCACCAAAAAATTCAGACATAAATATGTTACTACAAGAAATGCAAGAAAAAATAAAGCAATTGGAAAAAAAACTAGACGAGAAAGATGTTTTGATAAAAAATCTTGAAGGAAGGGTAAATGAATTAGAAAATAAATTAGACCAAGATAAATCAAAAGATTTAAATAATTGGAGTGAAGTCGTAAAAAGAAAAGTTAAAACAAATCAAGGCCAAAATGATATTATAAACACGGTTCTACATGAGGAAAAAGAACGTAATAAAAGAAAAAATAATATTATTATTTTTGGTGTTAAGTTAGCAAATCATGATAACATTGACAAGAAAAAATGTGATGAAGATATGGTAAACAATATTTTTGACTCAATAAATGCAGACAAAGATAAAATAAAAAAAGTCATTCGACTCAAAACAAGAGACACATCAAAAATACCACCAGTTATCATTGAGTTAGACAATGCGTCAGACAAAATAAGTGTATTAAAAGCTGCATACATTAACAGAAACAAGATAAATGAAATCTATTTTAACTCAGATATGACAGAATCCGAAAGAGATCTCATTAAACAGCTACGTAGTGAAGTTAAATTGTTAAATGCCAGCCTAAATCAAAAAGATGAATACTACTACACTATAAGAAATTTTAAAGTTGTGAAACTCATAAAAAAACCAAAGCAATAGCAATCCTCAATTAATTTGTATCAACCTGCAGTAATGGCTGTCCTTTCTACACATAATCCTGTATCTAATTATGTTAAATCAGAAGTATTATTATGCAAATCAATACCCAAATACCATCTATGTTGTAGATATACAAATGCGACTTCACTTAACAATAAGTTCGATTTGTTTTTGTTAGAAATAGCAGTGTATAATCCTGACATATTTATTGTAACTGAAACTTGGTTTAACTCATCAAGTGCCATAAATTTAAGCGGGTATAATGTTTTTTACAACAATCGATCTAAATCTAATTCAACTAAATCTCATGGCGGAGGTGTAGCTATTTATGTTAAAAATAAATACATTGCTTATACTCCATATGACCTAGCATCTGAAGAAATGACAGTTGAACAAGTCTGGTGTGTCATTAAAACAGAAAATGAGAATATCTTAATTGGTAGCATATATCGTCCACCAGATGCTACAGAATTGACAAATCAAAAAATAAATAAAATAATAAATATAGCTAAAAAAAGTGTTGATTGCAACAAATATTCAGGTCTACTCTTAGCCGGAGACCTAAATTACCCAAATATAAAATGGAATAAGAATGATGAGAATATCCAAACAGTGTTAAAAAATGATAGACAAGCACAAATTTTTTTAGACAATTTAAATGATAACTTTTTGACTCAAAACGTCACAAAACCAACCTTTAATTCAGGGACACTGTCAGAAGGCAATACCTTAGATTTGATTTTAACCGATGCACCAGAGCGTATTTCGATCATAGGCTATAGTCCTCCGTTAAGCAATTTAAATAATGCACATCAGATATTGTATTGGAATTACATCTTAAAAAAACCAACAACATCAAAATCTTCCTATGGGAAATCAAAGTTTAACTACAAAGCCGGAAATTATCAAGAAATGAACAATTCATTCCATAGTATAAGATGGTCACATATTTTTTCTAATAAAAACGTTGATGAATGCTACAAAATTTTTGTAAATAAATATCAAGAATTATCTGACTGTTATATACCTAAAAAAGTGCATAAACACATAGCTTTAAAACCATATATTGACAAACAAATTAAGACTGAAATCAGACATAAAACAACCTTATGGAACAAATTAATATCAAATAAATCCAAATCACCCATTTTGGTTCAGCAATACAAAATACAAAGTAAATTAGTTAAAAACATGGTGAGGTTAAAACGTATTGAATATGAAAAAAAAATCAGTGAAACATCAAAAATAAATCCCAAGTTATTTTATAGTTATGTAAATTCTAACAAAAAAATTAAAGGAGGAATAGCTTCAATGTCTAATGAATATAATAACATTGTAACAAATAGAGAATCTATAGCAAATATTTTAAACAATAGTTTCAATTCAGTTTGTGTTAACGAAGATAAACATAACATACCAAATATACCGCAGAAGACTGAAATTATTCTAGAAGAAGATATAAATAATAAAATAACTTGCCATACTATTGAAAAAAAATTAAAAAAATTAGATGTTTGTGTTAAATAAATGTCATAGTACTCTCTGTGAACCATTACATTTAATATATATAAAATCGTTGACTGAGAAAAAATTACCTGAACTCTGGAAATTAGCAAATATAACACCAATTTTTAAAAAAGGTAATACGAACATTGCATCTAATTACAGGCCAATCTCATTGACTTCTATCCCATGTAAAGTTTTGGAATCACTCATTAGAGATGAAATTATGGATTATCTAATAAATAACAGCTTATTAAATGAAAATCAGCATGGGTTCAGAAAAAATAAAAGCTGCACAACAAACCTATTGGAAACTCTTGATATCATAACAGATGCACTAGAAAATGGCCACTCAGTTGATATGTTGTATCTAGACTTTGAAAAGGTTTTCGATAAAGTACCACACTCGCGTTTGATCACTAAACTTCAATCATATGGTATTGTGAGAAATTATCTGGGATGGATAGAAAACTTTTTAACTAACAGAAAACAGAGAGTGGTCCTTGGCGACACAGTCTCAGATTGGCTACCATTTATTAGTGGTGTACCACAGGGGTCAGTTTTAGGACCACTGCTGTTTTTGATTTTTATTAATGATTTGCCAGATCAAGTCAAAAACCCTATTAAACTTTACGCTGATGATAGTAAAATAATAAATATTATAAAAAATCCTAATGATTCAATAAGCCTTCAAAATGATATAAATAACATAATGGCATGGTCATCTATTTGGCTCACAAAATTTAATTATGAAAAATGCAAAGTTATGCATATTGGGAAAAAAAATTTTAAATGCTACATTTATAATGACTGATATTGATTGCAATTACAATTATACATTGTGTAACACAAAAGCTGAACGTGATTTGGGTATAATGGTTCAATCCGATTTAAAATGGCACTCACAAGTTGATTCAGCAACCAGCAAAGCAAACAGAATGTTAGGTACCATAAAGAGAAGCTTTAAATATTTAGATGTAAACATGGTAAAAATGCTCTATACAACGTTCATACGTCCACATCTTGAGTTTGCGGTCCAAGCATGGTCTCCATTTTTAAAACAAGACATAGACAAGATTGAGAAAATCCAAAAAAGAGCAACCAAACTAGCACCTACAATTAGGAAATTATCATATGAGGCTAGGTTGAATATTATGCAATTAACGTCACTGGAAGAACGTAGACTACGTGGAGATCTGATTCAACAATATAAAATTCAGCATGGCCACGATAAAATAAATTGGGTTGCTAACGATTGTGGAAATGCATTGGAGGAGGGTCCATGTCTGCGACAACACAAATTCAAAATGAGGAAGCCTTTCAGCAGAAATACCTTCAGGTATCATTTTTTCCAAAATCGAGTTGTAAATGCGTGGAACAGCTTACCATCCAAAATAATAGAAGCTACTTCAATAAATAACTTCAAAAACAAACTAGACAGAGCTGGATTTTGCAGAAACTATTTGTTAAAACACAAACAAAAGACAAAATGAGCTGTTACAGTGCAATATCTTATGTTATTGCACTTCGCAACTGTTTAAAACAGTTGTTACAGTTATACCTTATTATTATTATTATTATTATATTTGTTGAACATATGTTCCAGAAACTATTAAATATGTAGTAAATGTTCCATTGAGACACTGTTTGCATTTTTAAAATGATCAAAATAAAAAGTTTTGTTTCTGCTAGTCACTAGCAGAAACAAACTTTATATTTTGATCATTTTAAAAATGCAAACAGTGCAAACTAGCAGCTAGTGATATAATTAGGTAATAAATGGTTTGAGTTTAATCAAAATATTAGTTTAGTCAGAAACATTTAAAAAGAGCAAACAGACGAACAGAATGTAATGGATAGGTTATGTTTTTGGGAATTAAAAGCTTTTAAATCGTTTTTACAGATCCACTCTTTTCCATTGATTTTTCTATATTTTATGCAAGCAAAATGACTGATGTTAACGAAGTTTACCCACCGTCAGATATAAATAAAGATATAATTACATGTTTAAATGCAAAAGTATGGCTTTATTGTTATGCATCAAACTCATTTTTTAATCGTTGATATTTTTTGATTATGATTTAAAATTGTACACTTGCAATATAAACAATAATTTCATAATATACATAATAATAACTTATACTTACAATACCTATACTTGTAAATACTTGTAATATAATAATTATGTTTATAATACTGATAAAAATTTTTATTGATATAAACTTTTGCATTCAAACTTTAGTTATAAAACTTTAATTTAACTTAATAACTTTTACATAAATAACAATAACTAAAAAAAGATGTTAGTTATTATATAGATTATAACCATATGCTTATTTATTATAATTGAGTTACAGTAAGTTAAACAATATAAAATGTTAAGTTCCAGGCAATAGGTCTTATATGATATGTATCTTATGTATATCTTGTATTTTGCAGCATGTTAAAGAATATTTCTGCATAGTGCACTCTGACTGTTGACAATATTTGCATATTGATATGAGTAAAAGTGACTTCAACAACCAGAATGTGTTTTTGATAAATATTAATAATAACAGGTTGGTAAATATAATTATAGTTATAATGGCAATAATTTTTTATTATTAGAATTAGTGAGAGACTTATGTATAATAGAGCTACATTAACTTTGAGGGACAAATATAATAACTTGAGTAAATATTACCGTTGTTTATAACCTCGATTAGAGTAATGTAAGTAAATATTATTTTTATCTAAAGAATATTCGGCAAAAGTCAGTATTTCCTAAGTAATAAATATTATAAAAAAACATGTGTTTAAAAAAAAAATTTTTAATGTATCATAAAATAAAAAAATAAGTATTTGAGTATAAAAAAAACACATTTGATATTATAATGTATATATATCACATTGACTATGTTGTCTATAAAGTAGGGGTTGCAGCTGATATTTCAGCTTCAGCTATAAACTCATTAGCTTCAGATTAATGCTGAAGCTGATCAAATCAGTTTAATCATCTTGATAGCTGATAGTAAAAGAGAATAACACTCCATATATATTTTATATAAAATATATTTTTATATAGGAATTTATTCAATGAAAATCTAAAATAGTGACAAAATTTAAACATACATGTAAATTTTAAATGAAATTTGCCAAAAGTTGTTGCTATTTATAAATGTTGCCTTCAGAGCCTAGGCCTAGGACTTACAATATTAGGGGACCCAAATTATGTTTTTAGAAATTTGTTTAAAAAGTGGTGCCCAAAAATCTAATTCCATTTTTAATTATCTTAAGGGGACCAACTATCTTTTGTTCAAAAAGAGTACACTTTGCAAGTATTTCATAGGTAAAAATAAAAGGTAGATAAAACGATAAAAAACTTTATTTTTTTTTTAAAACATATTTTTCGTCAGAGTGGATTTTTTTGGCTAGATGCGGATGTTCGTCTAATAATGTAGCTGCATCCAAACATATTAAATTTCATATTAAATTTGACTGTTAAGACGGCATATAATGTTTTTACAGAAAGTTGCAACTTCTCACTGCTCCAATAATCATTTCTTAGTGAAAATACCTTTTCAACAGCAGCATTAGTGCCTGGACAACATAAAGAAATTTCTGTTAAAACTTTTAAATTTTCATGTGGGATATGTTCTACTCTAAAATGCCGAAAGATTTCTACCCATCTTTTTTCAAGTTCTATTTTCTCATTGTTCCATTTCTTTAATTTTTCTTCATTTAAAAATAAATTTACTCTTCCAATTTCTTCAAAAAGAAAATTGTCATTATTAACAATATCTTTTACTTCCTTTATTACAAATTCGACTGCTGAAGAAACTTTTTTCCATTAAATTTTACTATTTATAAGGGTCCATTTATAACAATTCAATGCTCTAAAGTTCATTATCCATTCTTCGATATATTCATAGCAAATTTTATAAAAATTTTTAACTTCTTTTAAAATTTTTTTTTTTTTCCGGGATTGGAATCTTCCAAAGCGGTCAGTTTATAGGCTTTAATATAGCCTTTAATATTGTATATTGTAGTGTATGTATATATTTTTTTATTTAAATTTGCCTTTAATTTGTTTTTTTATATTTTTCTGCAAAAAAATTTTTCTGTCACTTTATCCTTATGAACTTATGTGATTAAGTTTTTGTTTTCTCTTACATATTTTCTCACTCATCTTATCTCATCCGTTCATTTTTTCTTTTTTTTTTTCATTTTTCTTAGCGTTACTCTTTTATATTTTTGTGTTAATTCCAACTTTTTAAATAGTATTGTTCCTTATACTTCTTTTTTTATTACTTGTATTAATGTAGTTTTCTTTCTTTCTTATTATTTTTTATTTTATTTGTTTATTTTATGAAGGTGTCGCTCCATTGACTTGTTTTTAATATGAGTGACACCGAACATAAATTTGTAAATTATAATTAAGTTTGTAATTTTTGATTTTTTGGTAATTAACCATAAGCGCATGCGTAGTATGTACAGTAAGGTTTTTGTTATCCTTTTATTTAATTAAATAAATGGATAAAAAACTTTGCTGTACATACTACGCATGCCTCAAGAGTGTCAAGCATGGCGTACATACTGCACATCAAAGATCAGCCTGGGGATTACATATGCAAATGTTGGATCCATCTCTTTTCACAAATGTAATTTTGACATTGTTAGAAAAAGAGGTCTGTAGTATCTATCTATCTCTCCAGGTTCATAATTTGGCCTCTCAAATGGCAGCCATATGTGCATTCAAAATTTAAATCACTGTCAAACTTGTATCTGGTGTTTGCCTTCTGACATGCTGGAAACGGCAAGCAATATGTGCGCATGAAATTCAAATCACTGTCAAAATAATTTTAAATATTTAATTTATAAAATTCAAATAAAATAATATTTAAAAAAATGTTTTTGAAATACAGATGAGTACAAAATTATACAAATGAGTACTTTCAGAGTATTGGATTTGAAAAAAATACGGTTTGTGAAAAAAGAGTAAAAAAACTCAGTAAATGAGAATAGCAGGTCACCTTAATTGTCTACATAATTTTTTGGTAGATTTCAAAGTTCTTGCAAAAGATGGTTTTATCTATGAAAATATTGAGTTTAAAATCAATCTTGTTGTTATCATATGTGATGCACCAGCTAGAGCATTTGTAAAGTGTATTAAAGGACACAATGGTTATAACTGATGTGAATGTTGTGCTTAGAAAGGAGAGTGGTGTGGCAAGATAACTCTCCTACATATTTCACTATTTTTAAGCACTGATTCAGATTTTTTGTCATTAAAAGCATTCTGAACATCTTAGTGGTGTGTTAAATTGAATTAAATTTTGACATGGTGACAAAGTTTCCTTTAGACTTAATGCATCTAATATGCTTAGGGGTAATGCGAAGATTTCTCAACTTATGGTTAAATTGCTCAAATGTTGTAAATTGTCTCAGATTACAGTCAATACTTTATCTGGCGGATTGTTCCAGATACGTCATTACATTCCAAGAAATTTTTATAGAAAATCAAGGTCTTAATTAGATATTAAAAAATGGAAAACAACTGAGCTTAGACTATTTATAGTATACACTGGACCAGTTGTTTAATGGGAATGATTTAGCCAAAAATGTATTCAATTTTTTAGATTTTTCAGTTGTAGTTCTACTTTCATAATGTTTCATTTTGTTGAAAAAATATATTAATTTTGCTTTTTAGTTACTTATTTTTATATGTGAACTTTATCATAAGGATCAACTAGTGTACAATGTCCATTCATTAGCACATATAGGAAATAATACAGTTAAATTTTAGGTACTTGATAGATGTCCCTCTTTCAAATACAAAACTTTTTCAGGTCAATTAAAAAATGTTTGTCTAGGGGGCTCATTTGCAAATTTAGGGGCACTTTTACAAATGTAAGGATTTTTTTTTTTTAGTTTTTTTATTTAGATTTTGTTTATCTATTGGAAAAGTTTTTAGGAATTTTGGGGCCCTTATGACAGGTTTTTTTTTGGAATGGGGGACTTGTATCTAGTAGCCACGGCACTGTATATAAGGTAACTGTATACAATATATATCAAATTATATACAATATAAATAAAAAAATATATTTATTTAATAATTTTATACAATTTATTTATCAGTAACTAAAGGAATGTTATCAATTTATTATATGAATCATAAACATGTGCTTATCTATTACAAGTACCTTTGATGGTGAAAATTACATTTTTTATCTGAAGAGAGTTGGGAGAAATGGTAAGAGTTTTATAACATATTAAAATTAATGTATGTGTTACCAATAAAATTTAAAACTAACAGTTAAACTTAATTTTTTACAGTTCATATTGAAACGAGATATTGTGTAAAGAGGTTTTCAAAGAAGTCGTTTTAACAACAATGGAAAAGCTTCCGATTTCCGAGATAAACGTGAAAGCATTTGATACATGATTATAGAATCGTTTAAAAGTTTGCTTAATTTTGACAGTGTAATTTTAATTACTATTTTTTTTGAAATAA